TCAGAATCTACGATCCCAAAAGCCAATGGATATATCTGAAAATTACCGTCTTGTGCGGCTGCAACCAACATAGTACCCTCATACTTTCCACTTAGGTGAGTCCCATCCACCACAATGACCCTTCTCTGATACTTAAAACCTCTGATAGAAGCTCCAAAAGCGAGAAAAAGATACTTAAATCTTTTCTCAGAATCATATTATATAGCAGTGATAGAACCCGGATTTGTTGCCTTGATTTGCTCCAAATATGAAGGAAGTCGCTCATACCCATCTTCCGCGGATCCTCTCACCAATTCTTGCGCATATAATAATACTCTGTATGAAGTGGTGTAATCAAGTGTCATGCCAAACATGTTCTTCATTGCATCTTTGATATGCTGCGGATTCAACCCATCAATGATTCCAACACGATCTATGAAGAGTCGACCAATGTACTTCGGAGTAGAGTGTTTCCGCCCAGCGATTCTGTGTCCCGTGGAACATGTATGAGTTTTCAAATACTTGGTTACCCAAAACGTCTTAGTCCCATGTTTCACACTTGCTATGATCTTCCATTGATAACCACTAACCCGACATGTTGCCACAAAGAGAGTTTTTGTTGACTTGTAAATTCTGAAGGAGAACCTGCGCCTCACCGCGCTCAGCCGCAACTCTGAAAGCAGTGCATCCTTGCTAGTAAAACTCTGGTTTACATAGATTCTTTCTGCAGATAATCCTTTTCCCTCACAGCCATATGCCTCTCCGTAATCTTCAAAACAAATTTCATCATCTTCTTCCTCATCCTCGTCTTTAATCTTTCCAAATTGACTGTAATCCTCTGGATCATAAAAATCTTCAGCGACAACAGTGATGTCAGCATCCTCCTCCCTATCATAATCCTCAGCTACATCCCCCTCCTGATCTTCATCCCCCACATCAGCTTCATCCCCCACATCAGCTGCATCCTCAGCTTCATCCCTTTCCTCTGAAACCGTTCTCATCTTGCAAAAGCTTGATACACAAAGACGTACTTCTTGCGTTTTGGTTATCTCGAGCAAGTTTCGAACT